CATCAAAGCACCACCACATGGGAATAAAGCATAGTTCTAAATTATACCATTTAAGATTAAAAAAAACAAAATTATATTTGTATAGCGCCTTTCACGGCAGGAGGACATCCCAAGGCGCTGGACAGACAAGAATTTCGGACCCGAGCTGGGGGGTGGGGGAGGGTGGAAGCAGGAAGATCGAAAGCACGGTCAAAGAGATGGGTCTTGAAGGAGGAAAGGGAGGGGGTGAGGAGGAGGGACTGTGAGATGAAGTTCCAGAGGGTGGAAGCACAGTGGCAGAAGGCCCGCCCACCAATAATAGGGCAAGCGAGGAGGGGGACGTGAAGCAGGCCAGAGCCTGCTGAGCGGAGGGAGCAAGCAGGATGGTAGTGGGGAGCAAGACCATGGAGGGCTTTGAAGGTGAGGACCAGGATCTTGAACTGCATCCTCTGTGTGAATCGGGCAAGGATGGGGGTGATTGGGTCGCGGAGCCTAGCGTGGGAGAGGACGTATATTCTCCTGGATGTTGACAGACACGCTCAACAAGTCAGCCTCACTTTTCTCCCCAGTGCCCAAAGGGTTTGAACAATCCCCTTCATTGCTTCAACCAAAACTGAGTCCAGGTGCAGCCTGAGCAAAGCACAATACAGCTTGAGTTATGACTTCTGTGGATCCGAATGCAACAGATTTGGCAAAGTCACCCAGCATCCTGTTTGGCTTGTTTATTGCTGTCTCACACTGCTTAGAGAATTAGCAACAAATCAACGAACACCCAGCCCTCTTTCAGCTTATCACTTCTTCCATTTGTAACCAGATATTAACCCAGTTCCTTCTTAACGTGACACAAATATCTCTATTCTAGGTACCTACTCCTCTGAGAAGAAAAAAATAGGACAACTGAAGAATCCAAATACTGGACAAAGATACATTTCTGTCCTCAGCTCATACTGATATACAGTCATCAATATCTTATCCACAGTTTGCATAAACAACATTTTAGCAACCAAGTTCCTACAGATACATTCACTTTATGAAAAGTGTGCTGTCCATTTTTAGTCAAAAGCTAAATACTAGGAAAACAAAAACACAAATAAATTTTAAGTTCAACTACAAAAGGAAAAAAAACCCTCAAAAATAAAGGACAAAGTAAAATTTTAAGTACTTGCCATCTGGCATTTTCATGTCAAAGCAGCTGACAGTGGCCAAGTAGGATGAGTTGACACACAGCATTAACAGGTTGTCATTTTGTCTCTGGAATGTGTTTTTAAAGCTAGCACATACTGAAGCAATGAAAATCATCCCTGGCGGCTGCAAAAGCCTCCAACTTAAACTAGTCTGGACAGCCTCGACCAAGCTACTCGTCTGAGCAGGTCCAGGGAGCAATGCTCTCCACAATTCAATATGAACTGAAAACATCGGAGGCCAGAAGGACAGCTGGTGTGTGAAATCTGGAATTCTCAAGTACAACAGAGGATGCTATTATAAGATTGAAGCAGAGAATGATGTGTGAGATAATTCGGGTCTTGGGATTATTGATGCAGACTCTGAGTGACCAAGTTGGAAAATGGAGAAACAGTATTTGTCCCATGGTAGATAATTCAGCTAAATCAAGCTGCTGCATTGATCCTTGGAACACTGACAGTGGATGCCTCCACACATGGTTTAAAACCATGTTGTGTAAAACCATGTTGTTTTTACAAAACAGACAAAAATTGCAACCAGTAACAAAATATCAACCAGTAAAAGCTCGCAAGACAACCAATAAGTAATGGCAATAACTGAAATACCATCCCTACATGGCCTTACCCCTTCCTACCTCTGTGACCTGCTAACGCCTCTCTACTCCCTCCGTTTAACAGGCTCCAGCCTGATCCACGTCCCCCGCCTGGCCCACCAAACCATCGGCGGTCGGGCTTTAAGCCTTTGGGCCCTCACCATTTGATACTGCATCCTGCATTCTGCTTGTCTCGCTCCCTCTCTTGTCTCCTTCAAGGCACGCCTCAAGACAATCCTCTTTCACCAAGCCTTCGGCAACCTCCTACCCTCCGTGCCCTCCACCCTTGCTGATCCCAACCACCGCACCCCCCCCTCATCGCTTGGGACCAAATCCCTGACTGTCCAGCACTTTGGGATATCCTCCCGAGATGAAAGGCTCTATCCAAATGTACTTTTGTATTGTATGGTCGATCATCCATGACAAATCAAGGGCTGAAAGATGAAATAATTCTCACTGCTTCATTTCAAGTAACATTGCATATCTCATTTTCAAGTTTGTGGTTAAGATACAATAAAAATATATTTAAAAATTAATCCAACCTACGGTTGGAGATTTATCTGAAGCAATAGAACACTTAAATTATGATTTTCCAACTAAATCTGTGAATCAAGCCTATTATTCAAGTGGATTCCATTAAATTGGCAACCAAGGAGTCTTTGTCATGCAGAAGTGATTAAAATAATTGTGCAGATTACATTTGCTCAAGTGTTCGGATCACAAGAAACGGATAGATTCTGACTAAGCCTTGGAAGGAGATAAAAATTGTTCAGTTACATGAGATTCTTAAAGCTTACCTTACATTATATTGCACTTTCAGCAGGGATGCTTCAATGAATACAGCAAAAAAAATAACTGAACACTCAGGTAATTCGTGGGCATTCAACTCATCAGTTGATTTGATTTTCATATTTATTAATTGAATTCAATCTTTATTGATATATAAAACTACAATTTTAATAAAGTAAAGTGTAGCATTTTCTTGGCTGTGATGCAACACAAATAGCAATTATACCGTCATCTTATACTTCAGTTTACTGACCTACGGTCATTCATACAAAGAAAAAAAAATAAGCGCATCAATTTACATAATTAATTTCAACACTTCAAACATTTTTCCAAAAAATCATTTAAGAATTGCAGTTCTCTTGAAAAGTGTTCGTAAAAGGGATAACAAATATTGAATCGTGCTGTTTAAATGATTCGACACACCTCATAATTGACAGAACCCCATGTTTCACCTGATACATCAGCTGGCCAACAACTGTCAACCTCCAAAAAAATTAGAAACTCAATGTAGCAGTGAGTTTAATCACAGATCTAAAAAAAACCTTAATAATCCTTTGTCAAGATACTGGTTCTGAAAGTTATCCTGTGGGGGGGAAATAGTAGTAAAAATAAAAACTGAACATTGTGGCCATCATCAGGTGTTCACAACGCACAATTCTAGGATTACGTTCAGTTGCTAATGGAACGATAACATACTCAAATTATCCTTAATATTTTTGAAAAAAAATTATTTATGGGGCTGCTGTAAAATTAATAGTTGGATGGAGATAATTCAAGAAGAGTTCCCTGAAAGATACCAGTATTAACAGTTTACACAAAAATATTGGGGAGAAATACATAGAATTACATGACACAGGAATGGGCCAAATTTCCCAAATAGTCTGTGCTGCTGTTCATACTCCACATAAACTTCCACATGGATGATTCAAATTCTCTCTTAAATACAGTGGAGTACTGTAGCTTAGCTGTTAGAGCATTCACCTTGCAAGCGAGAGGACCTGGGTTTGATTTCCGGGCAGCGCAAGACGTTTGGCAAGTTTCCTTACTCCGCACGCCTCAGTTTGCCTAGCAGTCAGTAGGAACCAAGTTATTAGTCGATTGGGATCACTTTTCCTGGCAGCTCTGCTTCTAGCTACCATATTTATGCCCCCGGGAGATTATGAAAGTAATGTTAGAATTATGCATCTAATATAAGAATTATACTAAAATGTATAATTTAAGTTTTGGACTCTGCAACAAATGAAAATAGCTGACCAAAATCTACCTTATTGAATCTGTTCATAATCTTAACCATCCCTATTAAGTCCTCTCTCAATCGTCTCTCCTCGAGAGAGAGAAAAAAAAGCTACATATTCAGAGCTAATGATTTTTCAAAATTATTTTTTACCCTAGGGCCACTGTTGCTGAAGGCCGTTTCTTTAACCTTTTCCTATACCGTGCCTGCACTAGGCCCCAACATCTCACCAAGCAAAAATCACATAACAAATGCAGCAAAATTGAACCCATTTACAAACATAATGATAATCAGAAAACTGATAATCATTTGTTAAACACAAGTGATTTATTAAATTTGAGATGAAGCAGCCCCATGAAGATTGAATGAGTGTCCCAATGAATACTTGGCAGTTGGAAAAAAAATGACAGGATTGATCCCTACTTTGCAATGTATTACTTTACATCAGTCTGGGAGCATCAGACACATTTGACCTCAATGATTCAAGTTTCTGAGGGAGAAAGAAACCAAATCACTCATTCTATTGCTGTCCAATGATCTCTAGTTGAAGTGCACATCCGTGGACATCAGAGGAGGGCAGAATCTACCTCAGTTCTATCTCTATTGCTGAGTTGATAGCAATCACCATCAAGTGAACAACTGTGGGCATGTGACTAAGGTAAAGGGTAATGTGAAATCCCAAGAAGTAAAATCAATATCCCAGAAGAGTGGGAACCAGAAATGTAGAAAAATGACACAAAAACAAAAAATTATAAATGCTTAACATTTAAAAGCTTATTTTGAGGAGGTTGCCAATTGTCTTTAAGGTTACTACAACCACATTGGCATAGGCAAGTTCTTGCAGTGTCAGAAAACACATGCATCTTTGCTTGCAAAAATGCTGACGGGTTTAAAGTATAAAATAAGTTCAGATTTCTTAACTTTCTGGTTTTGCAACAAAAAAAAGTAGAGTGCAAAAGAAAGTCTTGTGGCTTTACATCAATTCTAATCCTCTCCATTGTGTGCATTACTATAAATATTCATTGCATTTCCTCTCAGATCAATTGCAGATCAGCAGGTGAGATGGACATTGTTTGTGGTCCCGAGTAAGCTGCAACAGTGCAGCCCTCGCAAGCTTGCACGGGGAATTAATGAAAGTGGAGTCACTTAAAATAGGAGGCAGACCAAGTTTTGGTGTGAAGTCAGAGAGAACAAGTTGGGTCAAACATCTCTGCTGAGACATACCTCAAGCATCCTGACTGTTTTATTGTCCTGCCGTAACACGGTCTGCAGCAAAGAAATAGAGTAGAAAGAAAAACAGGCAGTATATCAAAAGTTAAATGCAGTAGAAGAACATTGACAGGAGGGGAATAAAAAAGGACAAGTAGAAATGTAGTGCAAAAACATTGAGAACAAAACAACAGTAGAACTCATGAGTAGTGTTGAGCTCCTGAAGATGACTTGTCTAATACATCACAATAGTAGGTGTGATCCACATTGGTGTGGTGGTCTTGGTTGTTCGGTTCCTGAGCCTGGCAGGTCCACAGCACAGCCCATCGGCAGGACTTGGAAGGGTAGACCAATCAATCACTGGGGGCAGGGACTCTTCCCACTCAGCTCCTGTTAACCCTGCAAGCCAAAGCCCTAATGGGTAAGGTGGTCCTAGCTGAACAAGCAGCGGGAAAGCTTGCCAGACAATGCTCTCAATGTCAAACTATGTGGTTTTTAACTGGTTAGACTCCAGATGTACCCCCATTACACACTCTGGGGTCCCCTAGCCTTCGCTCTTCCCAACCTGCTGCTAATACTTAGAAAGTAATTTTTAAAAAGCAAGGATATCCTGTTTATGCTGCAACCTAACCATGTAAATCAAATGCATGGCCCCATTTAATATAATTTGATATGATAATCATAATTGTTGATCTTTCAACTCACTAAAAAAAATCAAAAAAGCAACACGATTTTCTTATCCTCTTGTACTACACATTGCACATTCAGGGTCATAATATTAGAGTATATAGTCATAATGGTAGTTCACAATTTGATATAAATAACTGTTGTAAAACACATTGTGCCTACAGTGAAGCTTATAGTTACTATTCTGTACTATTCTAATCATCCAATGCGTATATTGGATCAGCACAGCAGCAGCATCCACAATTCTAATCTAAACCAACAGCAGAACAAAGTTTTACTTTTTGCAAGTGATCCCCGGATGCAATTTTTGGAAATAAAGGAAGACGACAAAAAAAATTGGTTGTTAAAATCAATAGTACGACATAACAGTAAAATTATGCTTCACTCACCCTTCCATCCCATTCAACACCAGGGCAACAAATTGAAACAGATATGGCTCTCATTTGTACAGACAAGAATTCATTCAGGTTTAGAATTCTTGTCGAAGCAAGGCTGCTCAGCCATCAACAAGCCAAATGTATTCAGTAACCTGTAACTGAAGTAAAAAGCACTTATACAGCAGATAAATCTGCGCTAATCTGCAAGGCGATCATGAAAAATAAACCAAATCGAGCCTCCGGTACAAATTCCCTTTGTGATTCGGGGAATTATATCAATCCTGCTGTTGAACCCCAAGCAGACAAAACTGGCAGTACTTGCAGCTAATTATGACCATTCCAATAGAAGACAATGTCCAATGAATTTCCTCCTTCATTGCATTTCCTCCTTCAGAAAGGGAAATATCAGGGGGTGGAGGGGGGAGAGGAAAAAAACAGGCTGCTCCTGCACACTGAGATGGTGTGCTATCAGCAAAGGCCTATGAGTATTTTACCAACTTATCACTTTGACTGTGGGAGGAGGGAAAAGACAAAAAGAGGAAGGAATTTTAAAAATGTCAAAAGAGAAATATAAGGTGCGTAAGAAATAACATTCTAAATGCTTCAACATTTATTCTTTGAAGTACAACTGGTGGGGTTGCTGCTTTTCTGCAACTTGGCACCATTATTTTTGATGAACAATTTGTTTTTCTCTCCTGCTTGCTCAAAGATGATGCACTTCCTGGAGTTACATATACCCAGAAATTTATTTTGCTTGCTTTTGTGAAAAGTGGGGAAGAAAAGGTGGTGCAAGTGGTAACCAGATGACTTGGTACCCACATAATGAATACTACAAGTGGTGTAGGGATACACTTGCAAACATTTGCATTCTGTATCCAATGTATTGCCCCAGGCTGTTCGTACATTGTTAGTTGGAGCTTTATAACTTAGACTTAGATCAATTGCAAGAATTCTCATTTTAAAAAAGGATCTTCCTAAAGTACCTTTACAATCAATCCTGTGAATGCTCCGATATGTCCTCCTGACATGAAAGGAACTGCATTGGATGCAAGAATAATTATTATTTAATGCATCTCTTCCAACCTTTGCATGCCTATTCTGAGCAATTTTTTCTCCTATCACAGATAAATTGGACAGGTCATTTATGCTGTCAGTTTATTATCTTTTTCCCCTTTCTCTTTGCTTAGTGCACTTTGAATCAAAGATGCCTCAACTTGTCACTACTGATATTAATGTAGTATTTTCATTCCAACTGTTCAGGAACACAGCTTAACGTTTAATTTGAATATTTTCAGGAAACTATGTGTTCAGAGAAAGCACATTACATTTCCATCAATTACACAAAATTCTAGTTTGAAGCACGATAAAATTTGCTTACAATTTGGCTCAAAACACAACTTCAAACTCACAAAGCTCTCCACTTAAATCTTCCAACATTCCCCTTTCCCACAAAATCTATTCCCTTAGGTCTGCAAGTGAGTTTCAGCTCAAGGATACGCTGAATCAGACTTTTCCATTATGGACTCATCCCAATTACAAACTCAGATGAGACTGCACAAACCCATTTCACTGAGCGCTCCATTAGCATGCAGGGAGATTTCCATTTCAGTGCCCATTTGATTTGACACCTTTAGTTTCAGAAGCAAAATGACAAATGATAGAGAGAAATGAGTGAACACAAATCCTTGCCAAAAAAATTAAACACAGTCTGCCACCTACTTCTCTGATCGTTCATTCTCCATTTGACTATTATTACTTCCTTGTCCTGTCACACTGTCTGTGATGAAGTGCTACACCAAATGGTTATAACTAGCAGCAATGAAGCCAAATGTTACCATAAAAATCTCACACTTCCAATGATAATTGCAATGCTTTTTTTCCCCCAGACAAGACAATCACACTAAAGATTAAGTGCAATTCAAACCGTCTCCTTTCTCCTCCCCCACAATGATTCAGTTGGTAAAGACACTGCTCAATGCTTTCCTCACTAGATCCATTCGACCTTGCTTTTTGGTTAGCTTGCCATCAAAATCCCTAAAAGTATATAAAGCAGACAGTTCCACATATGCATGCCACCTATGAAGCAAATTTCCTTTCATGCTCTCTACGTAGAGGGACACGGTTTACCTTTTCCCAGAGTATTAAATACAGATTGGTAAGAGGCAAGGCTTGGGGACTGGTGAGTGTACTGGGTTACTGCCAGCTAAAACCACAAAGGCTTCCAAAACTGTCGAACAAGCTTCTCACTGTTTGACCAGGTAGAAGGATGAACTTAACTCCGATATTCCATTAGTAGGTACATCATCTTGGAGCCAGCTCAATCCCTTTTAAACCTCCCTTTTTAAACCTCACTCCCTCCACATCCAGCATTTCTCATTCACAAATCCCAGAACTGAGAGGTTATACCTATCAGGAAAGAGGGGATAAGGGGTGACCTGTAGAGGTCTTTAAAATTATGAAAGGTTTTGATAGGGTAGATACAGGGAAGATGTTTCCACTTGTGGGAGAGACCAAAACCAGCGGCCATCAATATAAAATAGTCACGAGTAGATCAAATAGGGAAGTTAGAAAAAATTTCTTCACACAGAGAGTAGTGAGAATGTGGACATGCTACCACAAGGAGTTGTTGAGGCATAGATATATTTAAGGGAAAGGTAGATAGGTACATGAGGAAGAAAGGAATAGAAGGTTATGCTTGAAGGCTTAGCTGAGGAAGGGCAGGAGGAGGCTCATGTACAGCATAAACATCGGCATAGACCAGTTGGGCTGAATGGCCTGTTTCTGTGCTGTATATTCTAATGTATTCTAATGTAAATGTTGGTCTTCCTCAACTTAAATAAAATACTCATCAATATTGTCTGAAACTAACCAAAACAAAGTGTCAGTTTATTGGCCAATTCAAACCATACTGTCCCAATGAAGGCTATGCTAAAATTGTCCAAAGAAGATGCAAGAAAAAAGCATTAATTTCTTGTCACGTTGTCTAATTTCTGGTGCGCTTTTTGTGTGGATGGCAATATATACATTTTCTCTCATATTTTGTCTCCTGAACTTTGCTTAAACCTGATATCTCTGAGACTGGCGACCCAATTGCCTTCATTGACTTGTACCACAGGTAAGATCCCAGTTGACAGTGTCCCATTGCAGTTAAAAGCAAGAGGCTTTTGTAATCGGGCTCATCTGATACCAAAACATTCACTCATGGTTGACTACTGATTGGAATTGAGCACAAAAAAGCATGTCAAGTGGTAAGGAAACTGGTGATGCCACCTGCTGCTAGAAGCCCAAAACAGAGGCACAATTCTATGGAAGCATTTATCCAGCCTGTCCTTCAGGGTGGAGAAGGTGAGCGGTTTAATTTTATACTGACTACTGCATTCGTGACACTGGCTATTCATCAAGTCGTTGAAGACCTCAATTGAAAGTTTGCTAGTACTCTTGGGCAAACTTTCCAATGATCCACAATTGATGTTCTGAGACAGAAGCAAAAATCCTAAACAATTTTTTTAATTGAGGCTGTACAGAATTTACAAAGGCAGCCTCTCGTCAAATCTCAGTAAAATGATCTTGCAGTTATCTGTATGACACCTCAAGGCATAGAAGCAATTGCTACATACATTTGAAAAAATTTAAATGTTTAACTTATCGGAGTGAAGCATTAAGGTACAATACACAATAAGAGTAAGGCCAACTAAAAGACACGCACCTAATGCATAATTTTCTGAACTGTTAGATAGCCGTCATAATTAAAGTCTTCAAAATTAAAACTAAAAATCTCAAGATACTTCAGGTATAAGATTTCTTTCCATTTATTTGTTTGCACATTGTTTGGTTCACTGATGCAAAAAAGATTTAAGAATAGATTCACATCAAGATATATATATATGTATATGCATATATATATATACATACATATATAGATATATATATATAGATCAGAAATAGACTAATTTGGGTTTGAACTCAAGCATCATGTATTTTTTTTAACTTTCT